GTTGGCTCTGTTTAAACCAGGAACTGTTATCAACCTGCAAAAAGCAATCCCACACTTTTTGCAAACAAAATGCAGACTTCCCATGTAAGGATAAATAGTAGAATTGGGGTGGGGGGGGGAGTTTTGCCAGGCATGGCAGTGCATGCCTGTAATCCCAGCACTCGGGAGGCTGAGGCAGGAGGATCTCCGTGAGTTCGAGACCAGCCTGGACTACATAGTGAGTTCCAGGTCAGTCTCAACTACATAGTGAGATCCTGTCTCAAAAAAGTAAACAATAAATAAATAATTAATTAAGTAATAGTAGAATCGGTCCCTTGAAGCCCTGGTATCAAGACCTTGATTCTCAGCAATGATGAAGATCTGCGTTTTGTCCCTTTGTTGTTCCTATGCCTGGAACATGGCAGGTGGAGTCTGAAGTGCACGCCCACTGAAATGGAAAAACGTGATTCCTTGTGTTTGTGCCTTTAGTGCAGTCACCCAGACACATTCTTAGTAGACTGCCCTTTGTACAGGCTACAGCGCAGAACCACAGATGTACAGAAAGGCAAAATGTTGTTCATCTGCATAAATGAAAGAGGGTTCAAGTTATATTTGGAAACAAAGGGTCAGCTATCCCCATCGAAGGGAATCTTGCTGGGGCAATCATCTTCTTTAGCCGTTCCCACGTTCATACTCGGTATTATAGAAAAGACAAAAACAAGCTTCAAGGAAACTATTTCCTCCAAAGCCACACAGAGCCTATTCTGGAAGTCAGGTCTTTCTGGTCTTTGTGTTGGTTCACCAGGGGGAAGCATCTGCCTCTGCAGAAGCTGACATCCTACTCAGCTAAGCAACATGGCCAGTGATGCTAAAACTAACACCTTTGGCGTGGCAGGGATTAGTCCAGTGCTGGGACTGCAATCCAGTTTGGGTCAGTAAAAGCCTGGATGAAAAAGTTTGCCAAAGTCTTCTGGGTTAGCACTTCCTCAGGCTTCTGGGAGTGCCTTTAGAAGCACGTCCCAGGCTTGCTCCAGACTGGACCCTGCGGAGGAAACGGGGAGTAGTCCCAGTTGTCTCTGGAAAACATGGGGGAGCTCCCAGTGTGACCTGGATCAGGGTGGGAGGATGCTGTGCCTGGCAGAGCAGGGCAGGTTTGTTTCCATGACAGTTTCTTCTCAGGTATATTCTGCACCCTCTTTTGCTTTCCAAAGACTTTGCTTTGGCCATTGTTTCCGGTTCCCTTCCTCTTCCCTGTTGTAACTCCTCTACTTTAGATATTCCAACCATATTTTGATTCTTCCACATTAAACCAAAAACAAAAAAAAAAACCACACACTCCAAATTCTCTCCAGTTACAGTACTGTCTCTCTCGTGCTCCTTCATCAAGACTTTTTGTCTGTTCTTTCTCACCTGCCAGACACATTCTTAACCCATGCTGGTCTGGCTCCTGTCAATCCTTCATCTGGCCATGTCAACCATATCTTGATCTCACTTTCTTGACCTCCCAGCTTAACTGAAATTGTTTAAAGTTCTCCCTCTTCTTAACACTTTCCTATCTTGGCTTCCTGCTGCTGAACTCCCCGGGTCTTCTCCTGCCTCTGTGGCTGTTGGGTCTCAGTCTTCTCCTTTCTTGAATTTCTAAATGTTGGCCTGACTCCAAGCTTGGTCCTAGGCCCTCTATTTATATCTGCTTATGCTATGTCTTCCTATCTCCATTCGGCACACAGTTTCGGCAGTACTGTGGCAGCACTGTATTCACGGAGTGTTTAACACCACATAGTGTTAGGCATGGGAGACAGGGCCCCGAGGAAGTGAGCAAAGCCCCTGCCTTAACAAGGTGTGAGTCCTATGGAGAGAAAATGAGCACAGTGGACCAGCAAAGGACAATAGGATGGCAGGTAATGATTGTGCTCTGAAGGAAAATAAAAACGTGGACTTGACAGGGAAGATGGCACTATTTTTAGACAGAGTGGCTAGGGGAGGACTTTTTGAGAAGGTGACATTTACATCTGAGAGGAGGGAAATGTAAGAAAGAGACTTTTGGGACAGGAGGATGATGATGCCAAAGACAAGGAAGGCTGGAGACACAGAAGAGGAAACCATAGGCGATTAATATACCTCTTCGGGGTTATAGGCTGTACCAGGTGGTTGTTTTTATATATTGAGTTCCTCCTGTGAATGATTATTTTTCAGTTCTCAGAGAAACCTGCCCTGTTCTGTTTCTCAGAGCATCTGACACTGCCATGCCCCATCCAGGTGGTCTCTGTCTTTCATGAAAGTTGCTGGAACCTACAATAATAAAACATGGCCATTGTTGGATACTCACTCGTCTGTCTTCTACAGAGCTGCATTCCTGGGCTCAGTACTATGCATGGCACTGAGAAAGGGATCAAATGACTGGCAGTTGAGAGAACAACGGGTAGGTCGGTTACCTAGAAATGTCAGAACAATTCAGTTCTGGTACACAGAGCTATACATATGTGTCTTTGGGTGTGTGTTCTCTGTGGTATTTTCTCAATTTCAAAAGTGCTTTAGATGATTTTAAAGGGGTGACTATTTTGAAATTACATTTAAAATCTAGAATTCTTATTTACCCTGAACAAATTTGTACCCCAAACCTCATTTTGGTAGCAATGATAATAAAAAACCTTTGGATGCAGAATGGGCACAATAATTTGGGAAAGTTTACCACTGGAACCTGTATTCCCCTTAATCCTCAGTCTCAGGTGGCCATCTTTTCTGCAAACCCCACTCCAGAGACTGGGAAAGAAGACAAGTTGGGCTCCCGGAACACAACTGAGCACCTACTTACCTAGCAGTGCTGTCTGAGACTCTAATCTAGCCTCTTTTGTTCTTCTGAGATAGGCTCTGGCTCTATAATTCAGGCTAGCCTCGAACTCACAGCAGTCCTCTTGCCTCAGCCTCTCAAGTGCTGGGATTACAGGCATGATCCACCAACCCAGCTGAGCTCTGCTTTCTAAATTCACAGGTATTCAAGAGGTGTTTGGTGACTAAGGCAGAAACCCTGGTGGGGGGCAGATATTACCCCACCTCATGATGAAGAAAATGAGGGACTAGAAGATGACCTAGATTGTCTTAGTTCAGACCTGCAGCAAGTGACAGAAAAAAAAAAAACCTGCTGTATGTGTCTCTTCTTACACAACAGCAAGGTCATCTAGTCAAGGGTAAACTCTCCAACTATACTGTTTCCAGTGGACACAGATCTAGTTATTGACTCAACAAATGAAAAGAAATTGGGTTTCAAAACCCTGGGTTAGAACCCAGCATTCAAGAAACTGACAACTTACACTTCAAGTCATCCGAGAAATCCTACTGCAAAGCTAACTATTATGTACGTTAGACACATAGCTAGAGGGGAATATTGCCGCATAACATACCAACTTGCTCACAGAGGCAGAAAAAGACTTCCCAGGACATCCTTCCCGGGAAGAAAGAAGGTCAGGAGTATCTATTACCCACCACGGTCTGCTGGAATGTCCTCCACTTCATCTTCCTCTTCCTCAGAAATTTTTGAAGAATTCACTTCCAAAACAACCCTGTTTTGTTTTGTTTTTGGTACCAGGGATTGAACTCAGGACCTTGGGCTTGCAAGGCAGGCGCTGTGCCACTGAGCTAAATCTAAATCCCTGGCCATTTTTGAAATTTAAACTTTAATTTTTGCAGTAAGAAAGGAGCTCTCTTGCCGCCAACGTGTCCTTGTCATACGTCTTTCTGACGTGTGGGCACACAAACACGCCTACCACCTGTGTCACTTCGCTGCACACAGCTGTGTATAAGGATCTTAGGGTTGAGCACGATTGTCAATGAAACTCTAAAATCTCATTAACCATCTAGCATTTGCATACAGCAGGAAAAATGTACAAGGGTGACCTTCCCTTCTTCCAGTCCAAACCAACTTTTTTTCCTCTGAATATAAAAATGCACTGGAAAAAGTGGGGTGTGGGGAATAGAGAGTCATTAGTTTTCATTCTCTACAATTGAAATCACGACAAAAGTAGACGTCGATGAACTAAACCATTAATAAAGCAAAATCTTAAATAGAAAAATAAATAACATTTATTTTCTACAAAATAGCTGTCAGTGCTCGAGAGTCCCCAGCGGGCGGGCGGTCCTCAGGGCTGCAGCAGGGAGCCCGGGCCCCGGGGGCGGCCCTTGTCCTCGGCC